AACCCGACGCGAACCGACACCAAGCCGAACCGGGGGCGGTGGAACCGAACCGGGCCCGAACCGGGAACCAGTCGTGGAGGTGGACCCTTGGGAACTGCCCGATGCGAGCGCCCAGTCTTGCGCTAGGTCCATCCCACCCGCTCCCAACTCCTCCCCTGCGCCCCCGAGTTCCCTCGTCCTGTTTGCTGCTTGTCCAGGGCCGAACTGGGGACGGAAGGGCGGCGGGAAAAACTCAAATCGCATTTGTGGACGGTTCGAAAATGCGCTTTGGGCCTCCAGGTGGTTCTCGGAGCCTCCAAGGCTGCTCTGGGGATGGCAAGGCGGCGGAAACGCTCAAATCGCATGTTTGGACGGTTCGAAACTGCGTCTTGGGCCTCCAGGTGGTTTTCGGGGCTTCCAGGGCTGCGCTGGGGACGGGAGGGCGGCGGAAGAGCTCAAATCGCATTTTTGGACGGTTAGAAAATGCGCTTTGGGCTTCCACGGTTCCCCGGGGCCTCCAGGGCCGAACTGGGGACGGCGGCCGGGGCTGGGCCCCCACCATCCTGCGCGCGCCGCGGGCGGCGCCCTTGCCTTCCCAGTTGTCCTTTGGGATGACCCATGCCAGAAGTGAGTGGTCCGTACTGTCCCAGACCGTAGTCCAAGCGTTTTCTCTCCTGGCGCTGAGGAATCGCCCGTTGTCGCCAGAGCCCCCTGGTCCAGGGGGCACGATGCTGTCGACTGATCCGTCGAAGGCACCATGCGTAACGTCTGGGCCCAGTGGCTCCCCTGGCTCGTCGGGTAGCTGGGCCCAGTGGCTCCCCTGGCCCCAGGGTTCCTCCTGACTCCTGGTTGAACTGAACCTCCAAACGCCTTCATGTGATCATGTAGACGAACACGCGCACACACCATCTGCAAAAACCGAGAACCGAAATAAAACCGGCTGAAACGGAGCCGCCCTTTGAATGGGAACCGCCTCAACAAATCCGAAACCGGAGCCGTATTGAACCGAACCAATTTCCCCGAACCGAAACGAGCCGAACAGAACCGTGGACACGCTGGATTCTGCATGCGTCAGAAGGCCGTTCTGCTTGAGTGCTGGGCTGTCCCGGTTACCCCCCTACAAGCGGATCTGAGACTGAACATGAAAAAAACCGAGCAAACAGATTCGAACAACAGTCGAAAATACAAAAAAACAACGTCCCCATACTATCTTTACTTCAGACTATTTTTGCACATTCCTCCTGTAGAAGGACAGGCCTGACATAAGGTTGCCTTCTGTCTGCACTTCGACGAGGAGACGGCATCCCTGCTGGGTGACACCAGGGGGGGCATGGAGAAAGGTCCAGAGCAGGAGACATGGAGAGACGAAGCCAAGGCCCGCCTTGTGCGAGACGGCATGGGAGGGATGATGATGATGATGAGGAGGAGGAGGATGAGGAGGAGGATAAGGAGGAGGAAGAGGAGGAGAAGGAGGGGTGGGAAGAGGAGGAGGAGGAGGCGGAGGAGGAGGCGGAGGAGGAGGAGGAGAGGGAGGAAGAGGAAAAGGAGAAGGAGAAGGAGGAAAGCCGGGCGCACGAGGTGCTCCGACTCCTCGCCTCCTGGTTCCCCGCCTTTTCTCATCCCTCCCCTCCGCCTCCGCCTCCGCCCACCCCTGCTCCTCCTCCTCCATTCCTTCTCCTTATAAATAACTTGCCCTGTCACACCCCGAAACCAATTTTTAGAGCGGTCCAGGTGTTTAGCCTGATACTTCCTCACCATCTATGACCCTAGAGATTAAAAAGTGGCAGAAGTTTCACAGACTGAGGGCGGGCCGTTTGCAAAATGTGGCTCTCGCCTTTGCGCCGCGCACATTCGTTTTCACAATCTGCAAGAGCTTCACGGATTGAGGGCGGGATCGTTTCCAACATGTGGCTCTCGCCTTTGTGCCGCGCACATTCGCCTCAACAAACATTCCAGAGCTTCACGGATTGAGGGCGGGTCGTTTTCAAAATGTGGCTCTCGCCCTAGCGCCGCGCACACTCGCTTCAAAACATTGCAATGTTTTAACGGATTGAGGGCGATTCCTTGTCAAAATGTGGCTCTCGCCTTAGTGCCGCGTGCGCTTGTTTTCAAAATTTGCAAGAGCTTCACGGATGGAGTGCGGGTCATTTTCAAAATGTGGCTCTCGCCATTGCGCCGCGCACATTCGTTTCGAGAGGTTGCAAGAGCTTCACGGATTGAGGGCGGGTCGTTTCCAACATGTGGCTCTCGCCATTGCGCCGCGCATATTCGTTTAAAGAACCTGCAAGAGCTTCACGGATTGAGGGCGGGTCGTGTTCAAAATGTGGCTCTCGCCTCTGCGCCGCGTACATTCGCCCCCACAAAATGGAAACGCTTCACTGATTCAGGGCAGGTCGTTTTCAAAATGTGGCTGTCGCCTTAGCGCCACGCACATTCGTTTCAAACATGTGGAAAGATTTCACGCGCCCCCATCATCAACGTACCTGAAATGGCGTTGTGGAAAGATTCGGGATTATGCGGGTCCAACAGTTATTGTGCTTCGCGGTGTGGAGTCCCAGTAGTGAAATTCTGGCACGATTCCGGATCGCCAAGACGCAACAGTCAGGTTGATCCGTGGCGTTGACAACCCGAGACACTGTTTTGGCATGCTTTCGGATTTGCAAACGGTTGTGTCCAACGAGGCAGTTCCCCTGATGGAACTGAACCATTGTATGGGGCCTCTGCAGAGGGAGCTTGAACGGAGGGTTAATTCCAACATTGTTGATGACTCTTGGGTTTGCACTGGATCTCCTACTCCTCCTCCTGCTCCTCCTCCTCCCTCTACTTCATACGGGTAAATCTCCCCTGTTGGCGCGCAATACAGAGTATTACCGTGAAGCACGCAGGGCGCAATTGGCGAGGAAGAAATTCTCTATCATTTTCGCATGGTTCCGAGGAGTTCCAACATGTGTTTGGACGCCCGAAATGGGTACGGCAAGTTCGCGTCGTGTCGACCCCGGCGTTGGTTCCTAACACAGCGGGAATCGTTCAACCTTGAACGCTCGGCCGTTTCCGCAACGCCCAATCGTTTGACATCGATCGATTCTGGGCCGCCAAGAACGCTCAACGTTGAACGCCGGCGGCGGGGTCGCCGCTGGTCGAAACGACGCGAACCTATCGTACGGAAAAAGGGGTATACTGCCCGACACCACATATTATCCAAAACCGACCGCGGATGCTGCTAGGCAGGCGGCTTCTCGCGTTGAAAGAACAGCGTCCGCGGCGGCGCGAACAGCGAGCTCTGCTCAGAATGAACAGGACATGTGAGCGTTTTTTCATTCGGCGTTTCGACATTGGGCGGAAGGGGGGGGGAGGGGGGGGGGTCTGGCTCCGGACCTCTGTATTTTGAGACTGTTTGCAACAGTGCTGACTCTGGGGGAGACTCCACCCGCTCGAAACAGGCGCCCAACAACAGCTAAGATCTACTCCATGGTGGGGGGAGGGGGGGTGCGAGGGCCCGCGCCGATCGGCAAAACAACTAATAAAAAAACGACCACCATGTTGTTGGGCATCGTGCCCAATGTTTACGTACTCGTTTCGATCGTCCCGAATCAGGGGACCGTCCTTAGCTCATCGCGCCTGGGGGTGCACAGTGCCCCGGAGGCAGGGCGACAGGAAGCGCGGTTTTTTGACCAGAAGCACATCTGCGACTGGACACTGAGACTGCGCAACCTGACACGAGTATACTTGCGATTCTTCTGATCGCGCCCCAGTTCATCCTTGCGAACACGATTGCACCAACAGTATTTGCCCCCTTGGGGGACCGAATCAGCAATGTAGAAATCCGCGATGCTGACAGAATCAGTGTAGACAAAACATGGGACAAACAACAGCAGCGTCACCAGCCGTTGTGACCAAACACGCTTAGCCCTGGGCCACCAGAAAAGCATGAATGACAAACAAATACTGAGATAATTCACGCCAGCCAAACCGCGGCAATGTGTTGAAATGGAGCCAAAAGCTCCGGGATGATCTGCTACGGTGTGTTTCACAAACCCCTTCATCTCCCTCCCCTCCCCGCTCCTTGTCTCTGTTACAGGGCTTACTTCGCGCATTGAAAAAGTGTTTAAATTGAGGGCGCGGCAGTGGCGATGTACTCGTTGCCTCTGCTTGTGTCCTTGTGTAAACGGATGGTGTGCGTCTGTCTCGGGGGGCACATTAAATCAATGCCCCTCGCTAGGGCACATGTCCCGAGGACACATGATGAGACCGTGCATCAGAAGCACGCGCTTGCCAAATGGCGAAACAAATTTCTGAAACGACCCAGCACTGCGGGCGGCAGCGCTCCGGAAAACGGGGCCCGCACTCCGATGATGCACGCCGCAGCGACGGAGCTCCTCCACCTGCAGCTCTGCTCCTGCTCCCCCATTCACCCTCCCCGCCCGCGCCCCACGACACTGCTGGCGCAGGTCGCCCTGGCCCCCTGGCCGGCCACACGCAAGAATGACCCTGGGTAAGAGTGACCTCTGGAAAGCGGCTTTTGGGGACCGCGGTGGGCCAAACCCAGGCGCGCAAGACGTTACTGTCGCATCGCGTTCGGCGATCCCTGGACCCCATTGGGCCCGGCCCGCACTAGAAAAGGTCACTCCGGCGAAAGGCCACTCTTGTGTGTAGTCGACCTGGGCATGCCGAGATTCGCCGTCGAAAGCTGGCCAACGCGTATGATTCGCCAGGAAACCCTGGCCCCGAGCAGGCCAAGAGGCGTCAGACAGTGCCTGGCCGCAGGCCGAGGCCGTGGGTTGCCAGAGGCGGCCCCGTCCGTCTTACGCGAGATGGAACAGCAAGCCTACGCTGCAGCTTACGAGGGCCGGCACCGCGGCACGCTACGCACTGAAACGAGGGCGCTCTGCGCGCGACCTTGCGCGGGCAGCTTGCGCGCCAATGCCGGCGCAGACGACCAGCTTCTTTGCACCGCTCACCTTGGGCCGCGGCCAGGGACACCTCTGGCGACGCCCGAAGGGAGGCATGGGGCGCGGCGCGTGTCAGTCTTGATCCCTGCCCGAGCACGCCGCCACAACCGCCAGGCCGCGCCGCGGGTCCCGGAGCGGCCTCGCCAGGTCGCCGCCGCCTCCGGAGCGGCCCGCCTGTGCCGCGGCTTCCGGGAGGCGGGCACCGGCCGCCGCCTCCTGGCGCCCCGTCTCCACCCAGGCAGCCTCGAGGGCCTCCACGTGTGGCCGCGCGGGCCAGAACGTCTGCCCGCCAGGCGCCTTCGGTGGCGCGTCTGGCGCGGGGTCGCTCGCTGCGTCCGAGTCCTGCTGCCCAGACGAGAGTGCCCCGGCGGCCGAGGCGAGGAAGAGCAAGGCGGCGCCCACGACCGTGAGGGTGCCGTCAAGGGTCTCGCCCCTCCACAGGTACGCGAACAGAGCGCCCCATATGGGCTCGCTCGCGTATATCAGCGCTGCGATGGACGCGTCCACCTTCCTCAGTGCAGCCGTCTCGGCCCAAATGCAGAAGGCGGTGGTGACCAGCCCCATTGCGGCCACCTGCGCCCACTGGTCCGCGGGCCAGGAGGCCATTGCCTCCAGGGTGCCGGGAATGCTGATGCCCTGCGCCAGCAGGGCCAGCCAAGAGAACGCGGCCACGATGGCCAGCTGCAGGCAGGTGAGGTCGGCGATCTGGCTCTCGGGCATGCCGCGCACGACCTTCTCGCACCGCCACATCTGCACGGCGAAGAAGAAGGCGCTGGCCAGCTCCAGGGCATCGCCCAACCCCCAGTCGGCCCCCTCGAGCGCGCCGGGGCCTACGAAAAGCACGATGCCCAGCACGGCCAGGCCCACGGATGCCCAGGAGGTAGTGCCGATCCTCTTGCCGTCGAGCATCGAGAGGATGGGCACCACGACGACGGTGAGGCTCCCCAGGAGGGCTCCGGATGACGCTGTCGTGTGCTGCAGGCCCACCGCTTGGGTCATGAACCCGAGGAACAGCCACATGGCCAGCTCGGTGGCGCCGGCCACGAAGGCCCAGCTGCTGGACGTCGGCTGCGCGACGGCGGTGGCCCCGGATCCAGCCGTGGTGCTGCTCGTCGCTCCGCCCTGTAGGAGCCGCCCACCCACGGCGAGGCCCCCCATCGCCGCGGCCGCGATGCTGAATCGAAGGGCCATGAGCACGGAGCTCTCCATCGCCCCCGCGGTCGCGTCGTCCGTCTCCAGCGTCTTGATCAGCGCCTGGTTGCAGCCGAACAGCGCCTGGAGGAGCAAGCAGCAGCATATAGGCACAGACTCCCGGAGGTCCGCGCGGACGTCTTGGGACCTGCACTGGGCCCCTTCCCTGGCGTGCGCCGCCAGAGGCGCCGCCAGGGGGGGTCCCAGCGCCGATCTAAGAGATCCGCGTGGAGCTCGAAGGCTTGTGTCGATGCAATGTCAGCTCCTTTCGTCGAGCGCCGTCACGACGTTGAGGAGCACCAGGCCTGCGGCGGACCTTCTGTTGCATCTTCGGGGGCTTCGTCTGTCTCGTCGCGTCGATGTCCGCGTCGAATCGATGTCGAGCGCGTCGAACCCACGTCGAGTCCACGTCGTATCCACGCCGAGTCCACGTCGTATCCCAGCCGATTCTACGCCGACTCCGCGCCGATTGTCGGAAAAGACGCAGTCGGCAGGACAGACGAGGCCCCCCGAAGATGCAACGGAACGGACCCGGACGACGCGTCCGCGTCCGCCTCGGCCGGCTCTGTGCTGCTGCGCCGGCGCACCAACGGTGGGCGGCGTACAGCGTGCGCCGCGGCAGGGCCCGGCGGCGCTGGTAGAGGAGGAAAAATCTGCACAAACATGTACTCGGCAATGGACAGAACTCCCTTTAGCAAAACGTGGTTTAGTGAAAACGACCTTGGGCCCAAAACTGGCGGGCGCAAGCCTTGAAAATGACGGCCGCGGCGCCCTCTCGAAAACCGACAATGGAAATTCACGAATCGACGTGTCAGGGTGGGGTTTCTGCCCACCCCCGATATACTGCTGGAGGTCCGCGCGGATTCCTTGCATCTGCGCTGAATCCCCCTCCTGGCGCGCGGAGCGAGCCAAGGGCGGCGCCAGAGGCGCCGCCATGGGGGTCCAGCGCAGAACCGAGAAAGCAGCGCGGAGCTCCGGAATTGCATAGCTCTGGTTAGAGTTGAGACATTTTTTCCTTGTTCAGAAAGTGAACCTAATCCAAAGCGCTTTCATAGGCAGTAGTCCGTCCAAGTCCAGCTATACGACCGTTCGCCAATGTCCAAGACATGGCCCAGTGTCCGTTTCAGATTTCTGATTGACTTCAGCGACATCTGCAGTCCATGGAAGGTAATGTTGCTGCTTAAGATTACTGATGGGTGTAGGGCTCTTCAGACGAAGCCAGGACGAGGGCAACATCGGGCGAGGATGGATTAAGCATGTCTGAGATCTGGTAGCTCTGGAGAATGTCTGGGGCCCCGGAACGCTTTGAGAGCGTTCTGGAACGCTCTGGGACGGAGTTGCCCTCGTCCTAGCCCCGTCCAAGCTCTGCCTCCCCAGAACCCTGACGCCATGGTTTCTTCAGAACGCCAAGCCTGAAGGTCTCGACCCCTTCCCCGGGAACCGTTCTTCATCCCGAGTCGGTCCTTGACGGCCCCGAGGCCCTAGGAACCGCCCAGAGGCACCAACAGGCAAAACACAACAACCACAACAACAACAGCAGCAACAACAACGCCAACACCAACAACAACAGCAACAGCAACAGCAACAGCAACAACATCAACAACAACAACAATCAGTTTAAGACTGTTCGCCCTTATCTACTCGAGTGTCCAATAACGCCTATGTCCCAAACCCTCGATACCCGTCCTGTTCGTTTGAGATCGAACCCCTTTTGGGGGGTATACCTTTCTTCCCTGCAGGCCGGGCCCCGGGAAGCGACGGGGCGGCCACGGACCGTCGGCCTTGCCAGCGGCGGCGCTGATCGGCGGGGCGGCCGCGGACCGTCGACCCGACCCCAAAAGGGACGGACAGGGGACCGACCGCGACGACGACGACGCCGACAACGACGGCGACGACGACGACGGCGACGACGAGCGAAAGCGAGAGCGAGAGAGAACGACAGCAGGGCCACGAAGGACACGAAGTAGGCCACGAAGGGCGACAGCGGGGACACGCAGGGAAAGCGTATGGGGCCACGAAGAGCGCGAATGAGCGGGGGCCACGAAGGGCAGAGAATGCGGGGCCACAATAGGCAACGATGGGGCCACTGAGGGTAGCAACTGGGCCACGTAGGACAGTGATGGGGGCCACAAATGGCGACAGCGGGGCCACGAAGGGCATGCACATGGGGCCACAACGGGCGCGAACGAGCGGGGGCCACGAAGGGCATACGTATGTTGGGCCGCGGAGGGCAAGGAAGGGGCCACTGAGGGCAGCAACGGGGCCACGTAGGGCAGCGAGGGGGCCACGAAGGGCAGCGAGGGGGCCACGAAGGGCTACAACGGGGCCACGAAGGGCTGCAAAGGGGCCGCAAAGGGCAGCGAGAGGGCCACGAAGGACTGCAACGGGGCCACGAAGGGCAGCGAGATCCCGATTCCTAAGAAATCTGTGAGGGAGTCCTAGGCGTGAGCGCGACTCCTGGGTGCCTGGGTGTCGGGATCGCGGCGCTTGAGTATACCGCAGGAAACTCCAACGCAAGGGCGCTATTCTTCAGCGAATTGCAAGCAAATCTCCAGCGAAAGCGCGGCCCCAGAGCGCCAGGATAGCGACTCCTGAATACATTGTTGTAACAAATCCCAAGCGTGAGCGCGATTCCGGGATAAAATGCAAGGTCTCAGGCGGGAGTGGGGGTCCTGGCTAAATTGTGAGGAAGTCTCAGGCGGGAGCCGTCGTCGTTGTTGTTGTTGTTGAACATTATTTATTCTAAAGAATAATTATTGTTGGGCCCCCTGGTGCACGCCCCCCCTGCGCCGCCTAGGCCGCAGCTACATTTTCATCATTTTCGTGAGGAAGCCTCAGGTAAAACGATGTGATCCAGATCCGGTTGTTTTGTTGTAATCCGTTTTCCCTTGCAAAAAACACTATAAAATGACATTTCTTGTTCTAATATAATCAAATTTCAAGAATCCCTTGCAAAAAATAAGGTAAAGTGGACATTCGCGCGCGCAAGACGAAATCCTTCCAAAAGCTTAGTGTTCGGAGCGATTTTAACATAAAAACATCAAAAAACCAATGGTTTTTCAACAAAAAAATGTCAAAATCTCATCCCGCGCGCTCTTGCGGATTCGTAGGAAACCCAACACTTTTTAAACATTTCTGTCAAACGGGCTTTTGCGAGCAACTTTTTCGAACTTCTGCGACAACGGTTGCGCACCTGCCAGGGCCATCATCCCTGTCAAATAATACCATGCGGGACACATTCGTTTTTTCTTCGCGCGCGCACGCCGAAATCTCCAAAAACCATTGGGCTTCTTAAGAATTTTAGCACCGCGCATCATAAAATCACCAAATCGTTTAGTACGTATCATGTGTATCATGTGTATCATGTACCATATGCATCATATGCAACAGATGTTCTGTGGGAGGCTTAACAACTTCTGTGGGTTAACAAGGCTTAACAACTTCTGTGGGTGTACGAACGTAGGCTTAACAACTTCTGTGGGTGTGTACTCCACGCCAGTGTAGTAGCCACGGTCGTCCGCAGGCCACGAAGTGAAGTGTCCGAACGTCATAGGGCGGGAAGCTGGGTGTGGGTGGTGGCGAAGAGTCGTGTGGATATTTGGTAGAGCTTGCACTGCCCCCCCACAAAGTGGGGGTATTGGCTGGCGTCGCATGAAAACCCTGGCACTGGTGAGAACACTGAGCGTTCGGGTAAAGTGATTGTTGTTGTTGTTGTTGTTGTTGTTGTTGTTGTTGAACATTATTTCTTCTAAAGAATAAGTATTGTTGGGGCCCCTGGTGCACGCCCCCCCCGCCGCGCCTAGGCCGCAGCCACATTTTCATCATTTTCGTCAGGAAGTCTCATGCAAAACGATGTGATCCAGATCCGGTTGTGTTGTTACGATCGGTTTTCCCTTGCAAAAAAAAGCTAAAGTGGACATTTCTTGTTCTAACATAACCAAACTTCAAGAATCCCTTGCAAAAAATAAGGTAAAGTGGACATTCGCGCGCGCAAGACGAAATCCTTCCAAAACCTTAGTTTTCGCAGCGATTTTAACATAAAAACATCAAAAAACCAATGGTTTTTCAACAAAAAATTGTCAAAATCTCATCCCGCGCGCTCTTGCGGATTCGTAGGAAACCCAACACTTTTTAAACATTTCTGTCAAACGGGCTTTTGCGAGCAACTTTTTCGAACTTCTGCACAACGGTTGCGCACCTGCCAGGGCCATCATCCCTGTCAAATAATACCATGCGGGACACATTCGTTTTTTCTTCGCGCGCGCACGCCGTCGTCGTCGGCCGCGGGGCCCTGAATAGTAGCCACGGTCGTCCGCATGCCACGAAGTGAAGTGTCCGAACGTCATAGGGCGGGAAGCTGGGTGTGGGTGGTGGCGAAGAGTCGTTTGGAAATTTGGTAGAGCTTGAACCGGCCCCCCCACAAAGTGGGGGTATTGCCCGCCTCCTATGAAAACCCTGGCACTGGTGAGAACGGTGTGTCCCCACGTGCTAGTAATTGTTGTTGTTGTTGTTGTTGTTGTTGTTGTTGTTGTTGTTGTAACCCGGGGGCCAGAGGCATAACTTGGGCATCAGGACTTCTTTTGCTTGTTTCCCTTTGTGTATATATCTCCTCCTCCTCCTCCCCCCCCTCCTCCTCCCTCCTCCTCCTCCTCCCCTCCTCCTCCCCCTCCTCCTCCTCCCTCCCTCCTCCTCCTCTCCTCCTCCCTCCTCCTCCCCTCCTCCTCCTCCTCCTCCTCCTTGTCCTCCTTCTCCTCCTCCCCCCCTCCTCCTCCTCCTCCTCCTCCTCCTCCTCCTCCTCCTCATCCCCCCCTCCTGAAAGAAGGGCGACTCGCGTTTTCGCTGATGTTGGCGTTGCTGATGTTGTTGGTGATGATGATAAACTTTCAATTTTGAAGGATAATGATTGCTGATCCCCCTCACTGGAGGAGGAGGATGAGGACGAGGACGAGGAGGAGGAGGAGGAGGAGGAGGAGGAGGAGGAGAGGAGGAGGAGGAGGAGGAGGAGGAGGTGGGGGGGAGGTGGAGAAAGGTGAGGAAGACGAGGAGGAGGAGGACGAGGAGCATGAGGGAGGGGAGTAGTAGGAGGAGGAGGAGGAGGAGGAGGAGGAGGGGAGGAGGAGGAGGAGGAGGAGGAGGAGGGGGAGGATGAGGAGGAGGAGGAGGAGGAGGAGGAGGAGGGGGGGGGGAGGAGGAGGAGGAGGAGGGGAGGAGGAGGAGGAGGAGGAGGAGGAGGAGGAGGAGGAGGAAGGAGGAGGAGGAGGAGGAGGAGGAGGAGGGAGGAGGAGGAGGAGGGAGGGAGGAGGAGGAGGAGGAGGAGGAAGGAGGAGGAGGAGGAGGGAGGAGGAGGAGGAGGAGGAGGAGGAGGAGGAGGAGGAGGAGGGGAGGAGGAAAGGAAAGGAGGAGGAGGCGAGGAGGTGCAGAGGGGGCGGGGGGGGAGGGGGAGGAGGAGGACGAGAGGAGGAGGAGGGGGGGAGAGGAGGAGGAGGAGGAGGAGGAGGAGGAGGAGGAGGAAGAGAGGGAAAAGGAGGTGGAGGAGGGGATGGAGGAGGAGGCGGAGGAGGTGGATGGGGGGGAGGGGGAGGAGGAGGAGGGGGGAGGGGGAGGGAGGAGAAGAGAGGAGGAAGAGAGGAGGAGGAGGAGGCGGAGGAGGAGAGGAGGGGGAGGATGAGGAGGAGGAGGAGGAGGAGGGAGGAGGAGGAGGAGGAGGAGGAGGAGGAGGAGGGGAGGTGGAGGAGGAGGAGGAGGGGAGGGGAGGAGGGGGAGGAAAGAGGAGGAGGAGGAGGAGGAGGAGGAGGGAACGCTCGCCAGGGGGGGGGGGGGCGGACCAGCAGCAACAGCAGCGAGGAGAGAGAAGGTCCCAGTCCCTACCCCGC